GCTGTCCATGTGACCATCCGTCTCATGGTAGATCCCCAGATAGTGGAAGTCAAATTTCCTGGCCCCTTCCTCGTCCATCAACTGAGCTCGTTGAAGCTCCCAAACAGCTTGCGACCATTCAGAGAACCTGTCAGGGTGATGATTATTTACAGGACTTGGTAAACCCATTTTCCCAAAATATTAACAGTAACGTACATGAAGGCCAACCATGTGTAAAAGATTGTAAAAGGCTATTTATAGATCTGATGATCAACATTGGAATCTCACAGTCCCACAAACCTTGAGGGGACCATGTCAACGATGAGCACTGGCTGGTTGTCCGACTCGTTCATGCCTTCGAGCAATTTGAGCACCACATCTTTGGTTGCGCTGATGCCCCGCTGTTGGACCTTTGTTGAATGGTTGGCCTGTTGAAACCCCAACTATTGGTTTGGGATCATTTTCAAACACGATCAATAAAATGAAACCAATTGAGTTACCTAGGAACCCGGAAATGGGGCGCCAAGGCTTTCTCCGGTTCCGGGTTTTGCAGGTCTGTGACCCTTGCCCTTTCCACCCCGGAAATCGTTCCAAGGAGAGCCTTGCTCTTCGCGAAGGCAATGGCCGTGTGACCCCCAGACACGGCAGCCAAGCCTGTGTGGTTCAATTAATCAGAAGATCAATCACCAAAAATGAGAATGGGGGGGGTACATTATGGAACAACAAACTTTTTTTGACGAGAAAAAGCTACCAGTAATTACCAAGAAACACTGCTGGGATTTTTTTCTTTTGTCGCCCTGGTGCGGGGAGTCCAAGAAATTCAAGCTGATCTCGTATGAATCTAAATTCCTTGGCTGAAGATGGTTGAACCAAGAATAAAACCCACCGCTTTTCCAATAATTAAGGCACAATGATGTTGAGAAATCCAGGTATGTTCATACATAAAAAAAAACTATGAAACAATTCCATATCGAGGCACCCCAAGACTTTGTCTTCCAACAACCTTCGGTTTTTCAATGTGCTAGCCTTTCCCGTGCTGCTGTGCCATTGCGGTAACAGCCAGAAGCTCAACGTGCCATTGTTGCCTGAAGCCACCCCCTGGGCCAAAGTGACCGATTCATCCATGCTGAGCGCTCCTGAGCAATTGATTGGTATCGCACTTTATTGGTATCAGCTAAGCCCTAAAATAAATTTGGTCATTGTTTTGGGTTTGGGGTTGACCATTGTTAAAAATGTAAACGCTTACAACAAAGCCCAGGCGCTGGATGGCCAGAGGGTGAAGTCACCCACCAAGATTGTGAGCCTTTGTTGCTTTGATATGACACCAATAACAAATTACTGTTACCCATAATGAGAACATAGGTTCATAACCCCAGCTGAGAAACCCAGTCTTCCCCATCTCACCCTGCTTTTGCACAATGGTAGAGTGTGCCAGCACCAAGGATGAAGCTCGCATGAACGCGTGCTTGTCCTTCATCAAGGCCTCCACGGCCGTGCGGCCCTTGTGGTATCGGTCATTGATGTACTTCCAGTCCAAGGATGCCTTCAGGGAAAAATGAAATTCATTCAGAATCATTATTGCATATCATTGGCACATAGCAGCATGAGGTCAGTAATGGTTCGGATATGTGTGGTTCATGTCTATGAAAACAATGCTTTACAAAATGTCGGAATATTTGGGAACTCAGTGCCTGTTTGCTGGCATACATCTCAAATTGATGACTCCACTCTTTCAGCTTCGAAACGTCGCTGTCACATTGAAGCTCTGTTTGCTGCCAAGTAGTATGCAGAAGTTGGGCTGATAGCCTAGCACAGGCATAAAGTACCCTGATATTTCCGATCGATAGTCTATCGAGAAAAAGTGAATTCAGAATTCAATTGTGGTCAGGACGAGACGCTGCTCAGCTTTCCGGTTGGACTGTGCTTCCACCTGCCGGGGGAATGGACTGATACCACACCATTGTTTGGCATGTTCAAATTTTAACCCCAGATGATGGTGTCTGAAACATTATTGGATGTTTCAATATCTTTCAAAATTTCCAAAAAATGTTTCGAAAGAACACACCTCCTTCTGGTATTTTGCCAAGTGCTGAGCAAAGATGGAAATCTTCGACACATCCGCTGGAGGTACTGTGGTCTCCAACAATTGCAGCACGTCTGCATCAGCGTGTCGCATTTCAAACCTGAGGCAGTGACGGAAAGCTGCTGGCACATGAGAAATATGATTGTTGTAAAGGTACACAATTTCTCGATGGGTGGATCACTGGAAAAACAACATGTATCTTTGTACATCATTTTAAAGGATAGACAAACCAAAACAAACATGTCGGAATTACAGCGATGTTTCTCGACTAGGAACGACCCGTGCACCTCCGTGATGCAAGAATCAAAGAACTGCTTTGGCACCATGGTTTGGAACTGCTCCAGACATGCAAGAAATCCACCACAGATGCGTTGAAGGTTGGTCTTAGCAAGCACGGTTGAAAGTATGAAATCATAATGTTTTTCTTGCACCCGGTAAAACATCAAAGAAAATTATTAGGGGTGAATCAAAATATACTTGGAGTATCAGCTGGGTATCCAGATCTTTCACGTTCCATGGCTTTCTCATCTTGGGCTGGGTTGCAGTCCAATCCAACTCCATACGTGCAATCAGCAACTGCAACAACCCATGGCTGTTGGTGAGATGTGGTTTCCAAGGCTGCAAGAATCCCACCGCCGTGCAATAACCATGGTTGAGCACCCCCTCGGCCAGGCCATCGTGGTTCACGAACTTCGGCTGTGTGTGCGCCCTGGGAACAAGGTTGTTGGCAGTGTTCGGATGTTGTTAGACTGGTGTTAGGCTGCAACAAATGAGCAAATAACCCCTTCAAAAATTCATGATTTGGGGCCCGCAATGAACTAAGAATAGACTGATATCAACTCAAGATTCCGAACCAATTCCGTGAGGGATTCCTTGATTGCTGCAGGAATGTTTTGCAGAAGGTTGATAGCTGCAGCTGATTCCTTCTCACCCAGGCAGTAGGCTTGGGCAAACGATGACACCGATTCGTTTGCCTGCATAAGGTCCACAGATCGGGTTGTGGTTTCAAACCAAGGATTTTTATGATGACTGATTCCATTTCCCAATTAACATACGTTTCCCTAGCGGCCTTGAGTGACTTGACAGTCAAGTCCTGCGAAATGCCAGACCGAGCCAAAAATTGGAGCTGATGCAGCAAATTGAAGGCATTCGGCTTGCGCCGCAAGGTACTGCTCAACGCCACTCCTGATGAGGCAGGCAAACGGAACCAGGTTAGCACCATGGTTAAACAAACATGGTGCAATGATTTGTACATTGAAATACGTATTGTTTTGATTTCTAAATGCTGTTGGGCCACCACGGTTTGTGTTGACCACGTAATTGCTGTCCGATTGAACCGATGTGGCATACACAACACTGAAAGACCTTGGTGTTCTGCTGTTCAACCGCCAAAACTTCAAAACTTGTTATGGTGAAGCATGGGTGCTGGTGTTGAACGTCAAATTTATCCAAGGGGCTCCCTGACAGCTGTTGGCAATTCCTTCCAGGGGCCATGTGGCAAGGGTCATAAATAGATGTATGGAGGCAAAGGTATTTTCAATTATCCGGAACATTGAAATGGATAGTGGAATAATCATGTAAAATACGCCCCATCTTTGATCAAGGTGTGTTCCCATTGTATGGATCTTACGGATGATTGGATAGAAAAAATTGTTCATCAACCAGTGAATGTTTTTCGATTTGGCATCACCCCTCCTTCAGCAACTCCGGTGTTGTGTAGCAGGCCCACAAAACGCCCAAGCAAACCACGGATCTGTTCCATCCTTTCACTACAAACAATTGACCCAGTGATGCCATCGGCGCCCCACTGACATCAGCAACATTCACATGTGTTGGGCCGCAGCGCAGCCACGGTCGTTGCACTGTGCATCCAACCACCTTTTCCGTTCCTGGGACGTTTGGGTTTGTCTGGAATCCGTTCAAAAGGACGACCTGGGCCAGTCCGTGTTGAACTTCCTTAGTGGCCACAACATGTGAATCAAGATGGTTAAGTATGCCATGCACAGTTCCACAAAAGGGTGCCCATAGATAGAATCAAGATGATTTTCAAATGATTTTCAAATAAGGATCATGATCGCTAGTTCCTCTGAGTCCGTAATCAACTCTATGCGGAAGATGATACGGCCGCAGGTGAAGCGATGCACCTTCAGTGGCCAGGTCCGCATCTGTGCTGTAGGTCCTGATGGCGGATGATCATGCATCATCATAAATGCGACTTTGCATAAATCATGCACTAAGACTTGGACACATCTGGCCGTGGTGGGAACTCAGCTTCGATCCACTGGTAAAACTTCTTCTCGGCCTCCTCCAGTGTTAGTAGTACATGAATAGCTTACACAAGCATCACAAGCATAAGCAAACATGAAGTTGACAGGTAGCTGAACATGACAGGCCTCGTTGTTAGTTTCTCAGTGAGAAAAACATCAAGGGTCGTGTTGGTCTGGACCAAGTTCTCCTGCCTTAGTCATGTCTGTTTGGGTAGTATCCAAATCAATAGCAATCCAGAACAAGAGATATCCAAAGAATGAACTGTTGTCATATATAAGAATATCACCCCCGCATCAAAAATCAATATCAACCAATAGTTTTATCAATGGGGGGATATTACCACACCAATCATCACTTGACTTGGAAGGTGAATGGTTGATGAATCCAAATCGAACATCATCTTGGATTAGATGCTGGTAAGATACGCCCAGGCATCATAAAGCCGGATGTGCGGCATCACCAAAGCATCTGGGGGAACACTGGGAACCTGCGCACCCTTCTTTGACGCTTTTTTTGGAGCAGCCGCAGCTCCACCACCGCTGGCAGGTCCCTTCCGCTTTGCCATCACCTGGCACGAGGCAGGGATCGTATCATGGGATACCACCACGCAATACAAGTGGGTGTAAAACCAAAAAATATCATTGTGTTTTGTGCATCCAGGTTTATGCACAAATCAGGTCACCACTGGACCAGTCATTTTGTGCCGAATCACGACCCGATTATGCACAAAACCAGTCGAATTCTTGAAGTGTCATCTGGTTTGAAGGGGCATGCTACCCAAGAATGACAGTGACAACATGGTCACCACCCGGTTTGTGCCGAATCACGACCCGATCATGCACAAAATCACTGTGTGCCAGGGACATCCAAGTTGTGCAGGATTCCCCATGCACAAACCAATCTGTTTTTTCCTCCATGCCACACCACTAAAATGGTTGCTTCAGGTTGCTTCCATATTGGAAACTCGGAGGCTGCCAAAACATCAAACTGGATCCCAGTAGGTATAGCAGTAGTGATCGATAACTATACTTGTATCAAACTAGTGTTTGGTCAACGCTACAGAATTTGACCATTGTTGTACTAAGCATCTCTGGGACCCCAAGCGGTTGCGATTCCCCCACAAAAGCTACTGATGTTCTGACTCTTGTACAGCTTCGGTAACTATGGTGATGGCTTGGGATATTGGTACCCCTTTTTGCCAAAGTTTGACAGCTGCTTTATACAAAGCTTGTTGGCAACGAGATCTTCTGTACCGGATGGCATCATCCCTGGAGGGTGGTTCCCGGACAATCCGCAATCGGTTTTGAGCCTTGGTTTAGAGATCAAAGGCACAAGTAGTTTTCAAGCATCACACATGGTTGTTTTTCACCATATGTTTGTTTCTCTAAAGATAAAAAGATGCACCAGAAAGAAAGCAATAGGTCAAAGGAATGGTGAAACGGTTTTAAGAAAATGTGGACTTTCAACTCAAAGACTCAGGACACGACAGCTTCCAAACATTGCCCTTGCACTGCTGGCCAGGCTGATCTTCCCACGGCCCCGCCAAAGTGTGGTAAAGCCCTCAGGGTCAGCAGTGGTTGCGGTTACCATAAATTCAAAAACAAGTTTTAAACGCAAGTTCAAAAGTTGGTGAAGCAGATTGATAACATTTGGTAAGACCCCACCAGCTCACGTCCAAACAAGAAGGATCAGTAAATCCATAGGACAAATCCTCAAGTTGTTGGGCAGCATCGTGCATGTCGAAAGGATCCTGACCTTACCGCAATGAAATTGAATGAAACCATGTCATGAGATGAAGACGTTCACAACATGATGATCAAGTTGTTTGAATCACAGTTTCAAAGATCTTAGGACGGGACGCAAACGCTCTGCATACTTCCTGAGTTCCTTGTTCTCTTTGGACTGGGCATTCACGGGCTTCTCCACAAAGGCTGCCAAAAATCATGGTCAGAATTGAGAATAATATAATTTCATATTATTTCAATCACAAAGACTGATGCTCAAACTTGGCCAATGAATGGGGGTGATGGGATGCGCCTGGTGGGCTATCTCCTTGGGCTCTCTGTGCAACTGAGGCTGGAAGGAAAAGAAAGGTCGTGGGGTGCCAAGTGCCATCACTCATCCATTGCTTCGTCCTGGTGGGGCAATGGTGTAAGTAAGTGTTGGATTTTGGTTGAGTGTTGTACCACAATGATAAAATCCAGTATGGTATGGGTCCTCATGATGACATCTGATGGGCTTGGCGTGTATTCCCGTCGGTCCCAGAAGTGTGAATCCACTGAGTCCCGCGACACTCCTGCGAGCAATGATGTTGATAATGTTGATACATCCAATGTGTGATTAACTCCGAACAGAAAATAAACACAAGAAATATGATTTTCTGTTCGGAGTTAATCAAACATTGGATGTGTGATGACAGGATTAAATGTGAAAAGTTCAACATATCGATCAACTTCAAAAAGGGTTTTAGCTCCTGAAGATCCAATACGCTCCAAGCGTATCACATGTGGGGCACCTGGGCCTCCGATACCAGTCAACTGGGCATGCTCGAAGTGATGGGAAAGCCAATTTGTCCTCAGTGGCCAATGCACATCAAGATAACAACATTAATAAGTTTCAGGGTTCACCAAAACAAAAAACAAAATTGATTACACTTTGTCAAGAAGAAAGGGTCCAATCTTTGTAGCGGGTGAGCAGTTCAACTGATCTCATGGGCTCGTAGGGGCGGTGGCTTGCATCTTCGAAAAAGTCACGAATGCAGTTTCGGAAAGCAAAAGGGGTCCAAAGTTCCCGGTTTGTTTCAATGTGATTTCTCAGATTGGAGAAAAGAGCATCAATGTCCTCGTGGCTGTGGCCACTGGTAAGAAAACTTACCGTGGCCCCAGCAATTTTGTGAAGGCTTATCCACATGGATAGGAGGCGAAGGGTACCATTGTTTTTCACCTCTTTCACACAATTGTCAGCCTGTAGATTTAACCACACTGAGCGAAAATCCACTTTGTCCGCCAACTTTCCGAGGCCATGGCAAAGGATCTCAGCCGTCCTGGACGAGCCGCTGGTCAAAACATGGGGACTGAGGCAAACCAGGACAAGGTATCCATGGACCAATAGTGTAGTGGAGCATAGCCGTGGACGGTTGAACTTTGAAAACTCTTTGCTGGCCATTGAGCGGCTACGTGGCCATGCATGTTTCTGAGCATCCATTGAATCTAAAATGCAAGTGATTTCACATTCTCCCAACGTAGTGGCACCCAATCTGGATCTAGCCCTCGCAGCATAGTAAACCTGTCTGTCTCTGTGTTGTCGATCCAAATGCTTTTTCAGCATGGCATGTTGTGCTCTGCGAGCGGGAGGGCAATGCCCTAACTTTCGAATCAGTAGCCTATGCTTCACACACAAACTGCATTTGGAATGGTGTGTAGCAAAGCGTATTCTCAAAAGATGCTCAAAGTCACTTTGCCATACCTTGACTGGATATCAAAGGCGTTGAACAGAACCACATGTCCCTTTCATACCCTTGCAATCCCTTTCAAAACACATTCAAAAAAGATAAAACATGATATTTGGCTAAGGGTCTGAACAAAACAGTTTCCGGCTGATCACCACACCGGGATGGGCATCCACACATTGGCGCCAGTAGTCAGAGATCGTAGCATGAGGCAAATGACGCATCTCTGTCCTATCCAAACCTGGAGAATCCAGCTTTGTAGACCCACTCCGTGGCCTCTTGTTTGAATTCCATCCATCAGGAATGGCCTCCCCAGCCTCTGCATAGAGCTGGGTCAAAAAAGCATGTACTTTGATCCATGCATCAGATGGGGCCCGTTTTTCTTTGGTTGTGTAACGTCCATCATATGGGCACCACTCATCACCTCTTTGAACGGCTGAACGCAATGTAGAAAAACGATGTTTGCCGATAGCAAGCAATTTCATGAACCCTCGGGAACAGATCAAATTGCCCATGAACCGAATGTGCCGTGAACCCCTGCATGAAGGGTCCTGGGCTTGTAGGAGCTTGAACACCTCACTGGATTATGACGGGCTCAATGTTTCATTCATCCAAGAAGGTCATGAGGCCCTGGCATATTGATCCTTCTCCAATTTCTTCATGTGAGCAAGGGTCTTCCGCAATTTCATCCATTCTTCAACTTGTTGTTCACGAAAGCTTGAAAAGCATCCAGCACTGCACCCACATCTACCCCTAATCAGGTTGGCTAGATGTTTCCGACGGTCATTTGAAGCAGGGTCACGTACATGGAAAGCTCGCTTCCTTCCAAGGTTGTGGACATTGAGACTGCGACGTTTGGGCCTTGGCTTCGGGTGTTTGGCCGGCTCAGCGTCACTCAGCTCATCGACTGTAGCAAGTTTGGATGCCATCCTGCAAAGGAAATCACTGAGAGACAGGCCTTTGGTTTCAGTGGGTGTGTTTTGAAGAACAATGAACACAACACACATTGATGGTGATGAAAAAATAAAAAATGAAAGCACATTGAAAATTCATTTCTTTAGAAGCCAGCCATCAACCAATTAACATGATGCCCCCCTCCAAGTCCTCAACTGGTATCAGGCAGCATCAAGCACCATCCTGCAAGCGCTGACCCTGAGGTTGGTACTTGGACCCGGTTCAATTCAACACCATGTTGGGAACTCAGAAAGGAATGAAAAGGTTTGGTCCTGAAACATGAGCTTGCTCGTTGAAAAGCAGCAACCGATCATGGCAGCAAAAAAACGATAGAATTGAATCACCAAGTCAAAATATGTTCATAATTTCAACGATATGTTTGTACATGACCGGTTATGGACATTGTCTCAGTTGAATGAACTCACGGATGGAGTGGAATTTCTGGAACCCGATTCGAACTGTTTATGCGCGTGTCTTGGAGAAGTGGCATCCATCATGATCTCTGAACTGTTTTTTTTGGGCCACCACTCAGCAGATCTCAGCAGAATCACCGAAGGATTGCTCGTGGTTGCTGTAGACAGCCGACTCACTAAACCTTGCCATAAACTCAAGAATGTGGCTGAGTAAGCCGCCTACAAACAAGCCAGCACCACTCCCCACCAACTGCACCACCACAGCCGGAGTCAAGAGGTGAAACCGGGTGAAACCAAAAGGAAAATGCTGCAAATGGTTGGCAGGGTCAGCGTTGAAGAATCTATCTTGAACTCATGGGTTTTCATGGTCACAGTCGGCATTTGTTTGCGACAGATTGAGCTGATGCATTTTCAATTCAAATCAACCAATGGTGACACCCTTTTCCGCTCCCAAGTTGCTCGTGAATCTGAGGCTGCATCCAGCAAAGCGCAGCACTTCAGCAGGGGGCCACGGTGACATAGACACCAGGTCACCAGACAGCATCTAATTTAACACAAATTAGGACCAACATACATGGTCATACGTGACTCAACGCCACATTGAGAAAAGGCAGTTCATACCAAAATATGCCATTGCTGGCACAACTATGTTTCCGCACGCTTTCAGCCGCTCTTTGTGGTCTTGAACATGATGCTTAGAAAGCCACTGGTGCAAAGGCAGTGTCTTCTGGCGTGACATCCATTTTTTTTGGGGCCAAGCCTTCAAGTCTTCCAAGGACATCATTGCGCGACCCTGGCAGGTTGACGGAAAAGCGAACTCCACTTGGGTGTTTGATAAATTTTGATAAGACATGTTGAAAGCGTTGATGCCAGTGACCAGTGATACCAAGAATTCATTCATTAATGGCCTCAAAGAAGTTGAATGTGGGGTCACACAAGAGGAAGAAGACGCGTTGGCGCCATATCTAAGCAGGGAACGGAAAGCCACAGGAACAACCAAAAAGATTGATTGCATGTTCCACGGTGTTTTACTTTCACTGCTTCTGAAGTACACCGATACATAATATATAGTATTATTACTCATGTTTATTTCTACCATATTTTAATTGCAAACACGGGCGCTCCCACTTGAGTTCCCCACGGGCGCTCCCACTTGGTGCCCGTTCACGGAGCAGTACGTCAATCTGAGGCCCCTCTCACTGGCAGCCTAGCGAGGCGAGAAGGGACAGTCAGGATCAATGAACCCATGGGTGAAGGTTGAAACGGCCTGGAGTAGGTAGTCCATACAATCTCGGCACTTTGGAGATAGGATCGCACCCACGTTTTCAAGCACCAGGAATTTCCTGAAATCATTGTTTGCAACCAATTGTGAAAGTAATTCAAGATAACCGGAGGTTGCAAAAATGTCTAATATCAAAGATGCACTAAACAATACTAAACACGTCAAGGTTCAACATATGTCCCAAGGTTTTTGCTTCATCATATAGTCGGAAAATTTCCTTGAGAAGAACTGTCCGTGACCCTTGCATGGATGTTTGGTTCCCGGCTTGGCTCAGATCCTGAACGAACAACTAAGCATTTTAAACACACAAATGATTGGACTTGAAACTTGAACCATTCAACAGTGCAGTACCATCAAGCAGTGTGAAACATTACCCAGCCTGGCACGGGAATCCCGCAAGAAAACCCTGAAGGTCGCTTCCAAGGTCCCCTGCAGTCACTTTGGTGACATCATCCAAAATGATGCCAGGGTCTGCCAGCCCATCTTCCACCCGGGCTTGTATCACTTCACGGCAGAAGGATGAAATTTCCACCTCAAGTGGATGGTTATAAACTGATGGATCATTTCGATTTCTCTTCAAGGTTGACTTGATATGATGCCAAAAATCACAAATGCTTTCTGAGAATGGTACATATGATGCCACTTGCACAAACCTTGGATTGAATTAGCTTTGGAATTTCAATCACATTCTCGGTTGAATAAACTCCTTGTGCTTGACCCGATTGTAATTCTGAGCATTTGACGGACGCAATCCAAGATCGAGTCCCAACACCCCAGAAAAAAGGGATGCAACTCTGAGCTTCCGGGTCTGCTCCTAGCTGCGAAGGGTTCATGTTGGCTTCAATCTTGGGGATTGACAAGGTGAAAACACAACAAGGCATCCACCTTAAAATTCAACTCAACGGGTAGTGGGTTGAGATGGTCACCGCATTCATTCCGCATCTACATGAATATTGTTTTGATATGTTTTGATACTTAAAAAAATGAAATGATATACCCAAGGTGAATCAGTGAACCACGACTAGAACAGTGCATTGTCTCCTGACGTGTTTCCTCCAGCCACGGATAGATAGCCGCCAGCCTGTCACGCACAGCGCCAGGTTCACGAGAAGTCCAGCCAATTGGAAGACCTTGGCGAGGCGCAGCGGAATGAAAAAAGATTATCACCAGACCAGTATATCAGCAGTTACACTTGGAAAAACCATATTTATGACTTATATGATTGAGCCCCAAGCCGGACAAATGCTCACCAGTAGATGGGTGACAGTAGATGCCTTTTGGGATGTTTCTTGCTTTGCATGCATCCGTGAACTTTTTCCACCAATAGATCTGATTGGCACAATCCTCAGCAACCAATGCGTATGCTCAAATAGTTTGATTGACATAAAATGAAAATGTTGTGACAGCCAGCTCCAGCTCCAAATGAGATAGGGACGCCGGCCCCTCGCTTTGACAAAAAGTTCGGATTTGCTTGGACCGTGGATCCAAACAGCCCTGAGCCGAGGCCGGTGAACAGATTTGTTTTTTTAGTTGCGGGGAACCTGAGTTCATGGCTGATTGTTCCAAACGACTTCAGAACCATGGGTTTGGTAACCAACTTTCCTTTTGCTGGCAGCTTGCTGTGTGCTGCAGGTTTCCGTGGTGGAACCTCGGATGTTGATGTGAACATGGTGGATAAAAAGTCAATTTCCAGTTCCAATGCAATTGTTTTCCAAGTTCATGATGCAATGCAGCCAAAGAACAACTTGAATCTCATGAGGAACCCATTCCATTTGTGGCAGGAACCACGGTTTATGCAACCGAATGGACCCACCTTTCCAACAGTCCCCACATGCTGGGAGTCGCTTACCAACCTGCCATCTGAAGAGATCACATTTACTCCCATCGCAAACGCCTTGTTCAAGACATGGCGGCCCCACTGCCGAGGCCAATGGTTGCAACCTATGCGCGGACAGCAAGCAAAGCAGCAGGAAGGGGGGCTGTGGAGATTGAGACTCTGACCCTGGTCCTTGAGGTGCCACATCAATGTCACAACTTGGAGACAATGTTGTTGACAAACAATCATGCTGATTCAACTCGACATATTTGATTTGAATTCTCTGGTTTACTGGGTATCCAACTCACTCAGTTCGTCCACATCGTCCAAAGGCATGGCGGCCAAGCAGGTCGAGAAAGCAAGGTTTTGAAAACACATATTTGATTTGGTATTATTTGATCATATTTGTTTTGGTACCCACATCCAAAATTGTGGAAACGGTATCTTGAAGTTGTCTTGAAGTTCACCACAAGCACCATGACGTGACAACCAAGTGCATGGAAAACTGTGAATATGCAAACACCCGAGACAAATGGCTGGATGAACGTGTTGAACAGCTGCTCAAGTGCACAAAGTAAGAATGTTGAACACAGTTGAACACAACTGAGTTCCAAGTTGGTTTCAACTGGGTCCTTTTTTTCACCCCTGGTTGCAATGCAACGCATCATATGCCATGGCCATGGATCTGTTATCAATCACAGGCCTCTATTGAAACCCAACAACCACAATTTATTAAACAATTATTGGATGTCCTCCAGAAAAGTGAGGTCCAAACCTTCAAAGTCAGACTGACTGCCAAGCTGTTTCTGGGCTTCCCCGATCACATCGGACACGGCAACCAAAGTGTCCGCTGTCAGCTTCTCTTTCGCCAGGAATTTCGAGACCTGAGCCGCTGAGCAGAGATGCTGAGGGTTGTCAAAGATTGGGCATCGAGGTTTTAGTTTCATTCATGTTACTTCATGAATGTTTTTACAATGAGGCCGAATGAGGCTGATATTATTGGGGATCGAGTCATCACAATATTGATATGATTGGGGATCGAGTCATCACGATAATACTGCGGATACTGATAGTATTGGGGATCGAGTCATCACGATACTGATAGTATTGGGGATCGAGTCATCACGATACTATTGGGGATCGAGTCATCACGATACTGATATAGTATTGGGGATCGAGTCATCACGATACATATCAGAAGTATCTAGGTGATGAGATGAGATCCCGAACATGGTGCAGGACAGTGGCAATGAAGGCCGCCCTTTTGACATCCCTTTCCTTAATAGCTGACAAAACATCTTATGCGCAAGTTCCGTCGAACAGCTGAAGTTGAGGTGGCGGCGGCTGCAGGGATGATCTCACCCACTTCAAGGATCTGCCAGTAGCCATCAATGATTTTTAGGTCTGTTTGATGTTTATCTAGACTACAATGACTGGACTACAAATCATCCATATTGATTCCCTAATACAAGCCAGCGGCACCTCTTCATCAGTATGTTCTTGATCTGGATCGAGCGGTCGTAGAGGTCGAGGAACAGCCTTGTGCAAAGGTCATGGTCATGGTATCTGCTTAATTGGGGTATTATGGGGCATTAATAGCTGAGGTATGAACACGAATCCTTTCTAATGGGTTGATCTCCTTCATGACCCTCGTAGACCTGAAAATGATGGTGGAAAAATTCTATCAGAAATCCTCGCTGCATGCCAAAAAGTAAGGCCAGAACTCAGGTGACCATTCGAACGCGTTCTTAGTTCCATTGATTACGGAAGTTGCATGGTTTCCAAAGACGATTCCAAATGACTTCAAAACACATTTCCGAAGCTAAGCCCAAGTCCAACCGACGAAGGGGCACTGGTGGGGAGCGAGACCGGGTCACTAGTGTGGAGGCCTCACAGAACGTTTAACATCCCATCACCAAGCACATCTCTCTACAACATATCTAGAATATATATTAAATGATAGTGTTTTGAAATTGGATGTATAAATATATATATATATATATATATATTTGTATTGCATGAATTATGTATTTAAAGTCATATATATATATATATATATATATATATGTTCTACAGGTGCCCTCATACCATTCTCAGCATTCCGAAGAATTGATCACTGGACTGTGCATATCACATACTTGCTACATTAAGGATACCTAAATCAATCCGGCCTTTCGGTTCGGCATCGTGACCCAATGAAGTCTCCTTGGGAGGGAATCACCACCCCAAAAAAAAACGAATCATGACCACCAGTTCATGGGTTTCCGGACCCAAAAACGCAGCTCAGCACCCTGGTCGCATCACTCGCTTGATTTGAGGAGAAAAAAACCATGCGCCACAGTTTGTCCCACCTCCGCTTCTGAACGAAGGTGACCACAAACACGGCCAAATGGCTGAAGTTGGGCCGGACGGCCAGGCTCTTCTTGATATTTGTTATTACAAGTCATTATGGGAAATCAGTTTGGTAGTTACTATAGGGGGAAACATGAAATCATCATGGTCTATGCCGGGTTTCTCCAACCCATGGGTTCGCTACATGGACAAACTTGATTTCTGATATGCACCCACGGTGTACTTTATGCATATATATATACACATATATACATCTTGATGCACACTTGAATAAATACATGAAAACTTAAAAGAACCAACGAATAAATGTGTACATATGTTCATGTAAATAAACATGTTTTTAAGGGTGTGTGCATGATTTGGCTGCTATGATCATACAAAACAAGATACATGAACCATAAACATAACCGAATTAGATGTTTCAAAAGGGTTTTGGATCCGGGATTAATACTGCTGTGTGCTGTGCGGAAGCACATCTGTTAGGCAGGACCCTTGGTTACTTTGGCGGGTTCGAAAATAATTCCTGGGGTGTCCCAGCAATATTGTTTGAATTCCTTTGGTACCACTCATACTTAATCATGGATCGTATGTGGTTAAAGCAAACAATCGAAGATAGGATTGTTGGTCTTCCCATATATTCCCCATTTAACGGATGATACTTACTTCCAACAGAGGGTTGCAACATGACATCCTTGGTGATCTCTGGCTAAGGGGCTGGTGGAAATAATATGATCAATGCCCTATAATGCAATCTTTACCTTATGTATTAGTGGCACCACCTATGATGAATAATAATAGTAGATAAGCCCAATTGTCAAATGTAATTTTATCATTATTTGTTACGGGGGCGGGGGGGTGTTCAAAAATCGTTTGCTACTGCTAGTAAAGTGCTGCTGGCAAAAACTGCTAGCAACGTGCTGCTTGCAAAAACTGCTAGCACATGGTCGCTGGCAAAAACTGCTAGCAAGTGTACGTACACATCATGCTAGCACATTAATCAGCATTGGCCTTAGAGCAACATGCCGGTTTGCATGCACTGCTGGCAGCAGCTAGGGCTCCATGTACAGCCAATTTTACAAGACCCCAGTTGTCCAGCAAAGTCTGGAACAACAGGATCATCAAATCAAAACAACTTCGAATGACGTTTGAGAAGATGGAGTTTGCGCGCATGGATGACAGATTGATGGCTACTCTTGCAGCCATGCCGACCAGGGTGACCAAAAGGAGTGTTACCATGAAGGTTGGATTTTTACAAGATTTGTCTTTGAGAGATGCCTTGGTGTTGTGCCCTCGAAAACATGGTCCTGAGAGCATTGAGGATGCCAAGGGGGAAAACCGCCTTGAGATGCTTGCTTTGGCTGATGCAGATCCCGACCTTGCAGCTGATGAGTGGATCGTAAAACCCAAGCTGAAAGCTTCAGATGCTCGGACGGTTTTGGGATTTGTTTTGATTTGATACTCTTTCCAGTAAATGGGACAGAAGAATCATGTATACTCAGTATACAGATTGTTTTTCATATATCCATCAATTTCTTACATATAGATACTTTTGTGACACCTCATGCCCCCTTAGTCATACACACCCATCATTGACTCACTTTGTTTTTGGACTTGCAGGGTCAGAAGAGCAAGGGTCCAGAAGTTGCCAGTGTCCTGGACGATTTGAAGAAGAAGTTGGCCGATCGCAAGAACGGCATCACTGCAGAAAAGCCTGAGAAAGCTGAAGTTCCCCAAAGAAAGGCCAAAGACAAAAAGAAAGTAGTTCCCGAGGTCATCCCTGCGCCACCTCTGAAGCGCAGCATCCAGGAAGTTGTCAAATGTGAGGAAGCCAAGAAGCCAGCTTCAGTCCAGAAGAAGCCGGCCCCCAAAAAACAGAAAAATCAGCCTTCCAAAGTCAAGACGCCAAAGGTACCTAAGAAGCAGGAACCCAGACCCATTCCTGCCTGGTGGAATGACAAGCAAGAGCTTTTGAGATCATTTCCAGAGGACACCGAGAAGCGCTTTGCCTCCAGGTGCTACCACTTTGTGAGGAAGAATGAGATGCGCAAAGGTGTCTCCAAGGACCTGGCTACCTTGACGGCCCAAAGGGCTCACCAAGAAGCCAAAGATCGTTGGCTGAAGCTGTTTCCCAACGCATAGAAAAACCTATGCATGTTGGATGAATCTTGGGAGAAATTCGATGTTGAACATTGATGGATGCTCGGTGTTGTCTTTGACATTTGACGCTGCAGCTGCCCTCAGTGATGTTGAAAAAAGGAAAAAGCTCTGAATGGGCGAGCGGTGCAAACCGCTTTGGGGGCGTAAGAGCGGTATGTCCGCTTTGTTCACTATCAATGGAAAATAGTTTCGAGGTGCAGCTCTGAGGCACTGCTACCGATGTGGTAGCTTCTTCCTGTCTTGGATAAGTGGCAAGTGGTTATAGCGGTGCTGCCGCTGTATATTGCCATATGGTGATGAAACCTCTTTCCTAGACATTTGGTCTCAAGGTCAGCGCTGTAGCAGTAGCAGGTCGAGCCACTCGGTGACAATGGCCATTGTGGACAACCAACTTGGAGACACGCAGCTGTATCCTGATCAACTTGGTGCCGGTGAGTGCACACCACGCAAGAAGGAAGCAGTGGATCAGGACGCTGTGGCAGAGACAGTTGAAGTTAAAGACAGCCAAGACGGTTTGCCCCCTGCAGAAGCCGCTGCAGAAGGTGGAGGTGAAGAGCAGCCTGATCAGGAAGCGGAAAAACCCGCTGAGGAAGTGCAACCCGCTGAGGAAGCGGCGCCATCCGCTCCAAGTGCAGCCTCAGGACTGGCAGGCCAGGAGCCCATGCCGGTTGAGCAGTTTGACTGGTCCACTTTGAAGAAGTTACCAGCCAACTACTGTGGAAGTTGCCGAATGCCAGTCGAAGCAGATCCCACCAAGAGGGTCACCAAGAAAGGGCATGCAACGCTGAGTTGCAAGATGTGCCACAACGTCACGACAATGCTTTACAAACGCACCAACATGCAGACCGTGGGCTTCAAGGACATTCCACCTGCACAGGCATGGGTTTTGCAAAATGCCTTTGCAAAAGTTTATGTGTTTCCAAGCGGTTTAAGACCGCTATAGATTAATGACCCTGTGTGCTTTTCACCATGCAGGCTGCTGACTTCTTTCAGAAAGCTGGCCAGCTCTCTGAGAAGTACGGCAAACTGGAATGGTCTCACCTCAAGGGACTGTTGCAGGACAAGCTGGTGGAGCAGGAGGTGCACAGGCAGACTGTTGCTGTGCGTGGCAAATTTCTGCCGTTGTCTGTTTGGGAGCAGAAGGGCTTCGACACAGATCGCATTAAGCAGAATGCCGAGAAGCAGAGAAGTGACATCTTCGATTGGGTTTATCGTGTGCCCATCCTCGAGATCAGCCACGAGAAAGTCACTGAAGAGGTGCGTCAGCGCTTGCTGCAAGCTGAGCGCAAGGTGGGAAAGCGCAAAGTCAGCCAGCAAATGGAAGACGAAGACGTGGTGGACTTGGAGGTTGACACGAAGGACTGGGACTCCATCTCCTCAGATGATGGTGCTGGTGGGTCCAAATCGAAGCCTAGAAAGGCATGTGCACCCAAGGCAAAGAGCAAGACGAAGAAGGTGCCCCAGGAAAAGAAGGATGAAGCCAAGAAGGCCAATGCGGTGGTCCTTGGAAATGCCAGGAAGGCTATCAGGTTGTTGGATCCTGTGGCCAAAGAAGCCAAAAAGGCTTGCAAGGACGTGAACTGCACGGATGAGCTCAAGGCGGAGACGGAAGGGCTTCTGAAAGTGTTGAAGGAGGCAACGCAGATCACCAAGAAGCACTCCCAGGCCACTTCGGAGGGCAAGATCTTGGAAGACATCAGCTTGACGGTGCAGCAGGTGAAGGAGCTCGCTGCCATGGTGAAGGGCAAGGCATCGGCGGTCGTCGACTTGGCCAAGATCTTGTCCAACATGGGCGATGGGGCGGTTCAGAAGCTTGCTGAGGCGGCTGCCAGACGAGCCAATGCGTCTGACGTTGAGTGAACTAGTCTTTATTTACCATACTGCTCTTGCAGCCTTCGATTGCCTGTAAATTAGACAGGCAGTTGTGTCGCTGCCAATTTGGATCTGGACAAGACATGGGGGTGCACAAGCTCATTATGGTGAGAGGCTGCTTTTGTACACAGCAGCTGCGTGATAAGCGGTGTGTCCGCTGCATGAGCGGGGTGTCCGCTGAGCGGTGTGACCGCTGAGCGGTGTGTACCGCTGCGTGAGGTCTACTTTTTGGAAGCGGTGTATCCGCTAAGCGGTGTGACCGCTGAGTTGTTTGTCCAGTTCATTTGTTCGAACATGATCATTGAATCGTCTTTCATACTTTGATCAGGTTTTACAGAACAAATTACCCAAAACATGTTTAAAATTGTTTAAACCTTTTTTGAAAGTTACATGTCCAAACTGAAAACTGAAGCAGTGTTTGTACCGCTGCAACTGCACGTCAGCTGTCAGGTAAGAGTAAGAGTTTGATCTTACCAAGGACATATTGTCCAACATTGCCTCCATGACCAGCAGCGTCACATACAAGTGAATCCAACACATATTTTTTGACATGCACACCACGAGTTCAATTTACAGATGATATAGGCAATCCCTACTGGTTGAAAACACTTCCCGCCATCTGACAGCCACTGCCCGTCATGTCGCTTGACTACGACGCAGCTATGGAGCTGGCGCTGCAACTGCAGCAGGAGGAAAACGAGCAGTATTATCAAGACTGGCGCGCTGCAGAACGCCAATTTGGCAAGAAGAGGAGGCGTAAGCATCGAGTTGCTTCAACTGATCCGTATCAGTCGCTTGGTTTCAACTTAATGACACGCTTTTCAAAAATCACCTCAACAGTTTTCATCAACGAACCTTCCAATCTGAAATGTGAAGTACAACATCCGTATACCATATAGTATACCTATCGTATACCAACCGTATACCATACCCACATGTGACCCGTATACCACCGTATGCCACCGTATGCCATCGTATACCGTACACACATGTGACCCGTATACCACCGTATGCCACCGTATGCCATCGTATACCGTACACACATAGCACCGTATACCATCGTATACCACCACACATCACCGTATACCACCGTATGCCAGTCGTATACCAACCGTATGCCAATCGTATGCCACCCAGGGTTCATCTTGCAAGATGGCAGTATATATATGCAAACTTAGATGCCCCCCGTTTCCTCAGCTCAGGTTAGACCTTGTCAAGCTTGAACCTGAAGATGAAGAAGAGCCAGCGCAGGCATGTGGACCTGCAAGTTCTTCTGACCCTGCATGGGGGGCGCTCGAGAATGAGCTGCTTCATGCTGACCTTGAAGATCTTCAGGCCAGTGATGATCATCCATCTGCAGGTGACCATGAGAATCTTGACTGCAAAAAGTATTTCTGAAATGTATAGCGGTTTCTTACCGCTGAGCGGTTCTGACCGCTGTAGATGCAAAGCGGTGCTGACCACTCAAGATCTTTGCTTCTGTTCAATTTCATTCTCCCTCTGGCCAATACGTATCTTGGGAAATCTAAGGAACTTGACTGGTGATCAAATGCGGGAACTGTACCTTGGACAGAGTTCAGAACTGCTTGCATAATATAGATGCCACAACGTCAAGCTGACACCAAGTAGGGATATCCAATGAGCTTGTGAAGATTACGTAATTTTTTACACCAATTACCCAAAGAAACCGGAACTCAGGAAGAGCGCAGCTGCTCCTTGGAGATCTCCCCAGCCGATGCCATTGCCACTGCAACTCGTCCCAAATACAAACAAAATGTCTTTGAATCCCCCTGGTTCTTTATCTACAAACCCACAATAACCCATCCTAAAATAAAACTAAGTTTCTCAACCAACCTCACAACGGTTTCTGAGGATAACAATGGACACCTCGAAGCTGGGAGCACGGCCAAAGGCTAAGCCCATGCAGCCGACCGAGACTGACTCCGATGACTCCGAGGATATCCCCAAAACAGCTGCAGATTTGGTGTCCGACCTCAAGGTCGCTTTGAGACCTCGTCACTTGCAATGCCTGAAGTTGTGCCAGGATGGTCTGCACGAGAAGCTCATGCAGACCAACCGTCTGCACACCTACTTTGGGGACGACTCTGACCATGGTGAACCCTGGCCTGCTGGGATTCCACACGCTCCCAAGGAGCAAGTGGCCCGGTTGCTGCAAGAGCCGAGGGTGCAGCACTACGAGCCAGCCGACGCAGCCGAGGCGAAGATGCTTTCCCTAGAGGAATTCTTGGAAGAACAAAAGACAAGAAACATCAGGAAAAGTCCCCGGTTCAGCACTGGAGGTGGAAAGGGAGCCGTTGGCTCTGTTGGCTATGTTCAGGCCAGCCCTCCAGGCAGTGGCTATGTCACTGCTACAAGAACGGAGCCTGGTCCATCCCGAAGACTGCCTCCAGTTCCGAGACCAACTTCGAGGAGACCTACAACGGAGACAACGACAGCTCCCGACCTTCTAGCAGATGCCCGCCCTACAGAAAGTGCTCACGCCCCAGGATATGACAGTCCAGGACATGACAACGCTCCAGAAGGTGCCACAGGTTCAAAATCGAAGAGACAAGAATGGAGTGAGAGGAATGCTGGGAGGAAAAAGCCGAGAGGTGGCCAACACAAGCAGTGGTATTCCGCCAAATACGGCCGGAAAACGTGGTGACAGCCCAAGCCGATGTATGAAGAAAAGTTGCTGCTGCAAAGCCTTGGCCTGAAAGTTGAAGGGAAATATGCAAACATGTTTATGTATACATGATCGGGATTCTTTGTGGGTCTAACTACATTTTTCTATGCACCAGTTTGGTTCCAAAGCAATGCCCATGAACAGGGGAGCGGTGTGTCCGCTGTATATAGGTCGGCTGAGCGGTGTTTACCGCTTTAGGTAGATTAAGCGGATTTAAGCGGTGTCGCCGCTGTAGGTATAGGCTAAGCGGTGTGTGCCGCTGTAGGTAGGCTGAGCGGTGTAACGCTGTAGGTGAGCTGCTGTGTAAAAAGATGTGGGATGCCATTAATGCGTTCCACATGGTCCCTTGGGTCGATCTAGAATAGAACGATTCAAAACAGTAATCTGACAAGCAGAAGAACATTTATGCATGTTGGGCTTCTTTTCTTTTCCAAGCAAGGTTTCTGGCCAAGCGTTTAGCTTTACGCTACATTACGGTATTCAAACCATCCTTTGTTTATCTTTGGACAAGTTGTCTTCTACCATGGCAATAGGTGTTCAAACCCATATTGCCTTTGTACCGTTCTCAGTCAATTGTGCGTCTCGTGCAGCATGTCTTTGACTCCGCGGGAAGCATGGGAAGCGAAGATCAAAGAGATGGGCATCCTGATGTCGCTGCATTCAAGCATGGGCTTTATCCATCACCAAGTTGTGGAGGCAATCTATCAGCTTCAAGATCTCCAGACGGTGACTGGTGAAGGAAATGCTCAAATCGTTTTAGTGGAGCAGGCCAATGAGGCAGTTGACCAGGTGAGGCTTTGGCTGAACGAACGGATAACCACAGTCATGGATGAAATGTATCAGATCCAATCGAGACTGCCGGCTGCACCTGCTGATGCTCATGCCTGATCGATGGTAAAAAGCGACCTCATGCAGCTGAACTTTGGTCAAGTTTGCGTTTAATGAATGGTCATTCTCTCCCTCTCTCTCGCCTTCTCTCTGTATAGAATCGATTTGTATTTTCAAGATATATTATTGTTTCACGGCATACTCTCTGCAATATCTTCATGATATTTAAAAAAGAAAAAAGGGCCTGCTCAAGGTCTGATCAAGATCGGGTTGAGCGGTGTTGCCGCTGTAGGTAGGCTGAGCGGTGTACCGCTGTAGGTAAGTTGAGCGGTGTTGTAGGTAAACTAAGACCAGGGTCTAGCATCGTGGCTGGGAAATGCCAAGAAGATCAGTGCCTCACACATTGCCGTAAGCCAATGGTGGTATAAGGCGTATTTAGATCTTTTTGGTGTAGCGGTGTGACCGCTGAGCGGTTATAACCGCTGAAAGCATGAGTTGTCTTTTTTGGCGGCGGTGTGTCTGCTTCATGTCGTGACTGCATTTCCATGCTGCCTCATCAAAGGAGTGGAACTTGGCCTGTGATGCGTTTCAATGGAAATAACAAAATGCACATAGCACGGGCAATCCCTAAAGGTGCATGTATCATCATTGAAAACAGTGCAAATCAGTTGCATATATGTTGCTTGGATTCTTTTTGGACACCGGTCTTTGCAAATCCTGAGTCATAAGACCTAATCCATCATGCCGTCTAGTGAAAATATCAAACTGTTGCATCACTTCGAATGATGTTAGTTCATCCAGTATATAGCCAGTTTTCGACATGCCATGCCATGCGAAAGCGCAAAGTCGATGAATATTTTGAATGCTATGGCATCCCTGGCGTCAGTGATTCGGCTATTCGCAAAGTTGTTTCAAGACTGAAAAAGCAAAAGGAAGATTCCCATGCGCATAGTTTCAAAGAAAGGTTCCAACACCTAGATGGAGCACTACTTCGTGAAGAAAAAATGGCATTTACACTTTGAACCTGCAGTTCTACATCGATACTTTGTGTCAGAAGTCAACAAATTTTACCGACTTGCTGAGGCGAACAGTGTTGAAAGACCATGCCAATCAAGAAGCCATCCCAGGATGCCTTTACGCAGATGAGGCAGTCGTTGGTAACGTACTTGCACCAGACAACAGAAGACGCTCATGGTGCTTTTATTTTTGTTGGATGTCGATTTTACCGATGAGGAAAGATACACTTTGGCTTCCAATCTCTGTTATCAGAAGTGATATTATTGAGCAGTTGCCTGGAGGACTTCCACAAGCACTGAGCATTGTGATGCGGCAGTGCCAACAGTTTTTGTCTGACGGAATCATCGTAGACGGGCAGATTGTTATCACCCATCCACTTCACCTTCTTGCAGATGAAGATGGTTTGAAAAAAATGGGTTCACACAAAGGTGCTTCTGGACTGCGCCCTTGCATTCGA